AGTTGACGTCTAGCCTGTGCATCTTCTCCTCCCTTCCTGCTCCATGTCCATCCACACATACATAGAACACACACACACACGCACATGCATACATGCATGCACACCTGTACCATCCTGCACATACATATATCTGTACACAAATATTCATGTGAGGTGGGAAGGAAATATATTTTGCTTTCCTTGACTTCGACCTGAAGCCATGTTCTTTGTGTGTTTCTAAATTACAGAAGCCACCTAGTCCATATTTCTACCCCAGTTGGACATTTGATTGACCCCCCCCAAAGGGTCTAATTTATGACTGAGCCCTTCTGGATGGTTTAACCAAGAGGCAGATATTTCAACATAGTAATTCTCATAGCTTGTTTGGTCTGTATGATCTCTGAACTAAATTTGGAAAATAGTAGATCCTTTTGAATATTTTTGAGTTGCCATATAAAACCCAAATGCATAAATGTAGTAACTGAAAAGGATGTGGTTTCTAACACATTCCATATCTTATATGTTACCTACTTTTACCAACCCTTAGAGTAATAGGGGAAACCCATTTGCTTTGCAGATTTTGTCTTCTATATTATCTGTCAAGACAATCTATTTTAAATTATCAATAGAAACAGTCCATCCAGAAAAAATATGGGTTTGTTTTTCAATTTAAATGAACCATAATACTTTTATCTCTTTGACAAACATACCACCTTTAAATTTCAAAATAAATCAATATATAGACAGATAAGACATAGAGCCTTAAGATGAGTTTGTCCCCTACATGATATAAAGTACAATTCCATCAATAGTTATTTTATTTATTTATTTATTTATTTTGCTGTTGGATTTTTTTTCCCTTTTGGTCCTGTTTCTGTCATTCCTTCAGGAGCTGTATCTCCTCCAGGTTTCTCTGTTTAGTTCTCTCAAAGGATTTTATACTGTGAATATTGAATAAAAGTAGGATTGATGCTTGATAAGACACATTCACCTTTTGTGAAATGGGAGAAGTGAGAGAGGGCACCAAAATTAAGTTTTCAACCAAAATAGATATATTTGGGGAGAAAAGTTCACACAGGGGTAGAGGACTTGGAAAATTGTTTCCTCAAAACTATATACACATTGTACCTTCTTGGGTATTTTTTTTTTAATAAACTCTTAAGAATGTATTCCTCCACTTTGAAGACTCCGGATACTAGGTGACAACCTGCTATATGCTTAGAGAAGTGTTTACAGTATGAAGTTGAAGTATCCTTCCTACCCTAGGTCCATACCACATTGATTTAGTAACTGATCCCTGTTGATGACTTGTTTTAGAAGATGCTGTGTTGCAAGCCCCACATTACATCTCTAGGGTGCATATCCTAGGTCTATGGGGTACACTTTCTATAATTACTTTCAGGCCCCTCAACTTTCTGGTCATCTTTATATAAGGATACTAACACTCAAAATGAATCTTTTCTGAAGTTTGTTGTCTGAAACAACATAACATGTCTATTGCCTGGGATAAAATGTCAATATTTGTGATTTTCTTTATTATATAAAAAGCTATTGTTTTTAAAATGTTTTCCGTGGTGTGTTGGGTACTTAAAATAGACCTGTATTCCTGTTCTCTGCTCACAGACAGAAAGACTAAATTGGGAAAGACTCAAATGACTAGACAAAGTCAAGAATTTCATTCTGTGCCCTGTTTAGTTAGCAACTGGTTAATTTATTACTGGCTGGGTTAGTAATTGATTTGACAATAACATGATACCATGTAGACATATCTCTGTAGGTGTTCAGAGGGAGGAGCAGAAGAGATAAGAATAGGTATGATGTCTATCTGCACATTCTCTGGTAACTTCAACAAGCAGATAGAAGGCTCTTGACATACATATAGAGAATGATCCATAGCAACCCACCTAAGTGACCTAGTACAGTGCCGAGTTCAAGGGAGTCTGTGGAGGTTTTATGGACTGCTGAATAAAGGTGAATCCAAACAACAAGGACTTTCTATGTCTCCACCTCTGTCTCATACATATCTTCTGTCTCCTCTAGTGAGTGATTTTATTTAGTCTAATAAGGACTAGTTAGACATAGGTAATATAAAAGCAGAGAGGCAGAAGAGAACGGGAGAGTGAAGAAGACTTGCAAAGAAGGAAGAAGGATGTTAAAAAAAATCTGAGGAGGCTGGAGATATGGTTCGGTGGTTAAGAGCACTGGCTGCTCTTCCAGAGGACTTGGGTTCAATTTCTAGCACCAATATGGCAGTTCATAACCATCTGTATTACTTTAGTTCCAGGGGATCCAATGTCCTCTCTTCTGACCTTTACAGGCACTGAAGACTCAGGTGGTACACAGACATACATGCAGGAAAAAAACAGTATGCATAAAATCAAAATAATTTAAAAACACTGAACTTAAATGTCATTATATACAATATATATTCAAATATTTTAATTTATTTGTTCTTGAGACAGGGTCTTATGCTCCTTATGTGGCTGGGGTGACCTTAAACTTCTGATCCTCCTGCTTTCACCACGGGAGTACCAGGGTTATAGGCATACACAAGCACACCCAGTTTTAAACAGTCTTGGGGATCAAATCCAAAACTTTGAGCATGTTAAGCAAGGCAATGACTTATATCCCCAGCACCTCAGACACTTTTTTTAAAAAATAAAAGTGAAGAGAGGTAAAAGTGTACCAGCCTTTTGACCTGAAATATATGGCTTTCATTTGCCTAAATCGTTTGCAATTAAATACCACTGTCTCCCAAATCATATTGAACTGTGGCAGGATGTAAGTTATCTAGGGTGAGACCTCGTCTTTCCACAGGTTGTAGGAAATGACACAGACACCTTGAGTACTCCTAGTATAATGAAGAGTCTTCATTTGTAACAACAGAGTAAGAACAGTGGCAACCCCATGACATAATCTGGAATCAGGGCATGTAAGAAGAGTCCCATTGCTGGTACATTACACTCCTACTATGAGATATTGTAGGGATACTTCTCCCTCTAGGAAAAACCCAATAGCTTCCCAAAATCTAGAAAACAGAACACAAAGAGTTAATTCTGTGTAAAGATTTTTTATGACTTTCTTTTCTTTCTTTCCCTTCCTCCCCCCCCCCCACCTCCTTCTTTCTCTGCTTAAGATTCTCCTTAAATAGCCACATCTCTTTTAGAATGGTAAATGGGTTTGCTTTACAACATGCTGATGAGACTCAACTTTTCAAGAATAAAGAGAGTGTGCAAAACTGGACCACTGCCTGTCTCAGCTGTCACAGTGAAGCAGGCAAAGGTGTACCACTCTCCAAATCCACTGCAGTCAGAATCACTGAATGTGAAAGGTGGCTTTTTACAGGCACCAGGTCCCCTCCTCCAGGGAAGGAAGGCTTGTGCAAGCATCCAGGTCATTGGCCATCATGGACTGTGTTACTTTGGAAGTCTAAGGGCATCAATCTGTGGTCTGAAGCAACTGTGCATTATGTAGCATATACTGAACTATTAGCTTAGATAGTTTCAAACACTCTTTCTTATTGACACAGTTATGAAGAGAAAGCTGATGCTTCCCCTCTCTCTGTAGTGCTGTGGATAGAACCCAGGGCCATCTGCATGTTACACAAGTGCTTTAACACTGCTGCTCCCAGGCCCCAGATGATTTGTCTTCAAATATATAAAAATAAATGTGGGGTGGAGGGAGGGTATGATGTATTATTCATTCATGGCATGAGCAGAGGAAGTAAAATGAAAATTTGGATTAGGGCTATATGGGAACATAGGATCAGAGGGAGAAATCTTTTGTTTTTCTTTTTGTATCAGCCCCCACCTCACAACTATAGCTGACACTAGTGGGATTTTTAAAATAGCATGTAGTATTGCCATTAGCTTCCCCTCCTGATGCATAGCAGGGAGAGGTAGGGACACAATTCACTGTCTAATTCAGGGAGTATATATTGCACACTTTGCTAGACTCAAAGACAGGAGGTAAACAAAATGGGAGATAAGAAAGAAGCATGTTTAGTAAATTATTTGGCTGCCCTTAAAGACCACACAGTTTTTAGTGTTTCAAGACAGCTTTTCCAATTACACGCATTAAAAAAAAAAAATCGTACTCTATTTTGAAGATGGCTACTGTAATATAATTCAGTGGTTCTGTTTCTACAAACTAGTCGTTCGCTGGTCTCTAACAAGATCTTTGCAGGCTGCAGAGAGACTTTCCAGTAAATGTAAACATTTAACTTAAAAAGCTAATGCATCAAGCACTTTGACAAAAACTAGAGTCAATGAAGGAGCACTTTTCAGGCACCACATACAACGCTGAGAATTTTTACAGGTCAATGGTTTTCTGCACTCCTCTTTGTAATTTCCTTTTCCTGCCTTATAAGCCCCTGTGTGCTTTGTGGGTTCACAAGGTGAGATCCACAAACGAGAACGGGTATTCAGTACACGGAATGGGGCCTGGGCCTGGAGATGAACTCAAAAAGCAGATGGAGTGACATACTTCGGGGACTGGTGGAGACAAAGGAGTCTTCGATGCATATTTAGGTTCCTGTTTCTGATTCTGCCACAACACAGTTGTGTTGACAAATGTCCTTGCCATCTCCCTAGTACAGGCAGTTTATGCTTAGAACCAGAAACAGCAAAAATAGGACTTGGGGGGTAGCAAGCATCAGTCAACAGGAAGAAAGTGTGCCCCCAAGGGAAGAAGGTTCTCCTGGAGCAAACTGTGTACCTGGTGGAAGATGAAGCACAGAGAAATGAAAGAACGAAAGCCAGCATCTTCCTAGGCAAAGGAGTTCTAGTGCTGGAGGTGGGTTGCTGGCAGGGTGGAGGTGGGGGTGGGGTGGGGGTGGGTTTGCTCCTCCCAGCCCCAAAGCTGGGGAACAGCAGGGAACAGGGAATGGTGTTGGCGAGGCTGTTATGCCAGGACAAGGTGTTGGGTATGAGGGTGGGTGGGGGCCTGAGGGGTGGCTTGGAGCCCTGGCGGCGGCTGCCTGACGTCACCGGCCTCTCTGGCAATAGGCTAAGAGCTGAGCTCCTTGTAGCAGCGAAGGCAGCGGCGGCGGCGGGGACGGCGGCGGCAGCAGCAGCAGCAGGAGCGTGTCTCTGTCTCTGGTCCCTGCGCTCCGCGCCTTCTGCAGCTATCACTGCGGCCAAGGCGGGGGCTCCTTCTCTGCAGCCAATTGGCCTTTCCAGGTAAGAGACAATGGTCCGACTGAAGGCTTTCAAGACCAGGGGGCCCAGCGGCAGGATGTGGGCGGGTAAGACCACTCCCGCGGCCTGCGCAGGCACCTCTGGTCTGAGCTTTGGCCCCCGCCCCTGCCCCGGCAGAGGCTAGCGCTTTGCCTTGCTGCTCCGCAGTGCAACAGTTTGCACCTGCCTTTTGGGAGAGGCAAGGGAGCTGTGCTGCCTGCTGCGGGTCCTCCTGACTTTGTCGTCTGCCACAGCCTCTGGGCCCTGGGGTCAGGACCCGGGAAAGGCAGGAGACAAGGTCGGTTCCCCAAACTTTGCAGGCGGGAACCCTTCCCCTTCTAGTTCTTGCTCTGGGAGAAAGAAAAAGGATACAGGATGCTGTCAAGTGGGAGGCTTGGAGGCTCGGGGAGATGGGGAGGAGGGGGGCGTTTGCGAGGATGTGCCTCCGCTGAGACAGGGTGCTTCAGCTGTTTTTGATGGGGAGGAAGCGGGAGGAAGGTAGCAGGGAAGAAAGCTGGAGAAAGGTCGAGCATGATCCCGTGTGCCAGATCCAGCCTGTCAGCTGAGGCCAGGGACAGAGGCAGTGGGTTGTATCCCCTGGGACTGGCACCTTGGGGATCTGAAGGTCCAAGCTGGAAGTGTCTGGAGAGGGAGGGATGGGGAAGGACGACTGCATACAGGGAGCCTGCTTGGAGCGAATGCTGGCGAGAGTGGATCCTGGGAAGAGGTCCACCGAGCTCAGAGAGGAGGGCAGTTGGCTTTCTGGGAAGTAGATAGAGACAGCCAGCCTTGGTGGCCGCTGTTGGTAACAATTAGAAAGTTGTGCAGGGGGCAGGGCCGCTGCCTTCTCTGCTGAGTAACCAGTGTCTCCGCTGTGCGGTGCGGTGTGGACGCCAGACCCCATCTGAGCCAGCGGAGCAGTGGCAGCTGTTCTCCTGCGCTGCCAGGAGCGGTAGGATTGGGTCGGTGGGTTGTGGAGATGAGAGCGCCCATTTGAAGGCCGCTTGGCAGTGGTGGCAGATCCCTCTCATTCACTGCACTTGCCTTGGCCGTGGCCGGGACCCTAACTAATCCTATTCTCTTTGCAGCACGGTGTCGGGGAAAGGAAACTGGGCACTTGGAGACAAGATCAAGCAGGAACGGAAACAGTCTCCCTGGGGCCACTAGCTCTGGCTAGCTTGCTTACTGGCATTTGTTCCCTCAGTCTTTGGCTGGAGCACTCACTCCCTCCAGCGCCAGGGAGCAGTTGGGGTGGCGTGGGCTCTTGTCCTCGTCTTGGCTGGTGGGAACTGTGTGTCCAACAGAGGAAGCCCGGTGGGCCTGACCCCTCGTAGCCCAGCGCCGATGAGTGCCAGGGCGCCTAAAGAGCTGAGGCTGGCACTGCCACCTTGTCTCCTCAACCGGACCTTTGCTTCCCATAATGCCAGTGGAGGCAGCAACGCAGGTGTCCGCAGCTCGGGCGCAGGTGGTGGCACCTGCATCACGCAGGTGGGACAGCAGCTCTTCCAGTCTTTCTCGTCCACGCTGGTGCTGATTGTCCTGGTCACTCTCATCTTCTGCCTCATCGTGCTGTCACTCTCCACTTTCCACATCCACAAGCGTAGGATGAAGAAGCGGAAGATGCAGAGGGCTCAGGAGGAATATGAGAGAGATCATTGTAGCGGCAGCCACGGTGGTGGTGGGCTGCCCCGGGCAGGTGTTCAAGTCCCAACCCATGGAAAGGAAACCCGACTGGAGAGACAGCCCCGGGACTCCGCCTTCAGCACCCCCTCCAATGCCACTTCTCCCTCCTCTTCATCCCCTGGTCTCCTGTGCCAGGGTCCCTGTGCTCCTCCACCTCCACCGCCAGCCTCCAGTCCACACGGAGCACATGCAGCTTCCTCCTGCTTGGACACAGCTGGCGAGGGCCTTTTGCAAACTGTGGTACTGTCCTGATTGTGTAGCCCTCTCCTGACCCCTTCCTCATTTCCAGCATCTTTACCATCCTCGCTTTTGTTCCTCCTTTCTTCCTTTTCCGTTCTCCTCTGGCCCCTCTTTCCTCTGCCCTCCTTCCTTACCTGCTCACCCTTTTACTGTTTCTCCTCCGCCGAGGCACTGTGCGGTATTTGTAAATATTGGGCGAGGAAAGTCTCAGAGGAAGAAATAACGCCGATAATACTTTATTGATATTTATAGTAATTATTATACTATTAATAACACAGTCCAAGCGCATGACAAATCACATAATTTCTCATTGTCAATGATGGCTGCATCTTCCCTCTGCACCCGTGCCCCCTCTCAGTAAGGAGAAACCGCACAAGCTACCAAATATATAAAAGACAATGCCACAGGAGCAAAGGGAGGGGAGGGGGCCGGTGATGTATATAGCTGTCAAGTGAAGGTTTAGTAGGCTTTCTGCCCCTCCCCCCATGGGCTTTCACTTTTCCTTTAGCTTCTCTCCCCTTCCCTTTCCTCACCTTCAGCCGGGCTCAGGCTTTAGTATATTATAAAGGAAACATCACATTAAGCACTAGAGACCACATAGAATGTCCCAGAAAAACGTTTAGGACAGGTAACCCCTCTCTAGTCAGTCATCTCTTCACTTTTGGTCCCCCTGGGCAGAGTTTTCGAGTTTACTTTTAGAAATATCTCTCGCTGGCCGAGCACAAAACAAAACAAAACAAAAACCATACTATCTGCTTTTGCCCCTCACCTCCATCAGTCGGGTACCATTTGCACTCTTAGACTGGTGGCCTGGCCTTTTTTGTTTTTTTTCTTGAGCCTCAGAGACATCAGGAGCTGTCCAGCCATGTCTGGTGCTGAATATGTCTCACCTTCATGGTTACTTCCTCTGGTTGTGCAGGTCAAAGAAGGAACTGGTTTGGAAAGTGATTGTCTTGGTTTTGATCGGTTACTTTCTTCTTTTTCTACAATTGGATTAGTGTGTACTATTGTTTTGCTTATTATTAAACAATAAGTTACCTTTATCTAAAAAAAAAGTATTAGTTAATGTGCAGTTCTGAAAATGCAGTATCTAACCAACCAGTATGTTTCTGTTTTATTTTTAGAACAAGTGCACCTTTGTTATATACTTATTATACTGGTACCAAAATACAGAAGCAAACCATAGTTCTGTGACATGTCCTCCAAACTGTATATTCTTGTTCTGACTTTCCAGCTGTTGATATAAGGGTTGCCACTGGCTGAGGAAGTCAGTGATGCAGGCCTGGCTTCTGTTTCCGGAAGTGTTCTTTTGTATTTTACTCTGTAGTAGACTATTATAAAAAGATGACACCCACGTTTCCCTTTTTCTTTTGTGAATAACAGAAACAGCTACAACAGAAAACAAATAATGGATGTGCAAGAATGCCATCTATTAAACACATGGTTAATATTTCAACAGTGCCTGTAGTTCTCTGCATGCAGTTACCACCTGGAGGCAGTGGTGTGTGTGCTTGTTTGTACTGTATGTGTTTGGGGGAAAGACTGGTGGAGATGTTGGGCAATTTGGATGACAGGACATACAAATTTCCAAGTTAAATCGGTAAATGCTTACAGGATAAACATGTTTGCAGCTTGTTTAGTTACAACTCTGTGCCTGCATCTGCTATACAGCAATGGAGGCTCTTTATTCTTTCTAAGTCTGGCCTAATTAGTTTCCCTGAACATGTAGAAAATATTGAGGGAAAAAAAGAAAGTGAGAGAGAATATAAATCTTTCATCCTCTCTTCGAATGTTAGATAAACCCATCTATGTTAGACTGTGATGCTGGCGTAGAGCAGTGGGACCCCCATGTATATCCCTCTCCCCAGCCACTAGCTGCCCTCAATTCTTTCTTGTTTCAAGCTGTATGTGCTTGTTATCCTGAGAAACTATTGTCTCTAATGTTTTTGGTTATTATAAAGTTCCCCAAGCTCAGTCTGCATCTTTATGAAATAAGTTAATCAGGTTGATTTTAGTCACTCATCAGCTGTCACCTGAGTTCTTTTCTGAAGCACAGGCCATCATGTAAGCATACCACATTGTGTCATTAGGAAGGCCAGGCATAATCTTTGGATATAATATATTAAACAATGAACCAGATTCTCTCCAGTGCCTTAGTCACTTTCTAGTAACAGGTCAGAGCGCATTCACTCCCTCAGGCTACCAAGGAACTGGTCGGTGTATCTGAGCTCTACACTGTACAGCAGAATGACTAAGGCACCGTGAAGGAGGTTGTCTATTAATCCCTTTAACTTACCCTCATCCAATTGTAGCTCTTAACACTGTCTTACAGAACGGCTTTTGAATGTGAAGTCTGAATAGAACCAGGGACCCAGAAAGAAGTAAGCTTCATCATTACAATGAACGCTACTTAAGTGCATAGATATTACTTTCTTCCCATTATTTGGTGCACCATTTTTTACAGTAAAGATTTTCCCATTTTATTAAAGCAATAAGATATTCTGTTTTGAGTAGTACTAGATGCTGATTCCACTTCCTTGGTGCTGAAGCAACTCATGTGTTCCTGCCTTATGAATCACAGTGCATTCAAGGCATGCAATAATAATCCCCTTCCAAGAAGCAGCCTGTACACCCTAGGGGGCAATGTCCTATATACTTTTCCAAAAGAGATAGAGGGAACAAGAAATAAGCTAATTATGTGTATTTTAAAAAGTCTCAATACCTCTAACCATAAGCACACATCTGTAATGTGCACCTTTAACTGTTTATGCCTTTCCCCATCAATTGACTAGGGTTTAATATTTTAATAGTGTCCTGTGTAAAGATGACACAGCTTGTTAATCACATTTCATACTGAGTTTAATATGCTGTGAACCTGGTGGTGTCACACAAGATTTCTGTGAGCTAGAATGAGAATTACATGAAATTCTAGTAGATCAGATCCCACACCAAATTATTGCAATAAGCATATGACAATGCAAATTTCTATGGACTCTGTTTAGATTGCTATTTAGTGAGCTCAGCTGACCCATATGACATTCAAGATTTCGTTTTATGAAACAAAGGACAATATGGAAGTAGCTAAATTTACTCTAAGTATTTTATTTACTGATGTCCAGTCAAACTAATTGCTTCAACCCTCTATAGCTACAGCTCAACTCCTGCACTTGCTATTCAGTATTAATAAGGTAGCATGCTTGATTCTTACTGTTTTAAAAATGAGAAAATAAGAAAGAGAATGCCAATATGTCAGCTGTATGGGACTCTGACTCTTGAAGATGTAGATGGATATAATCTTTAGAATTTATATACACCCATAGATATGTATTTATATATGCATACATTTTGTACAAATTTACAATGGACTTTTTGTATTCTCTTTTCTGTCATTATAAGTATGAGATTGAAACCAAATAGTTGTTCCATCCTCTGATCCGGAGAGGATCTGAGAAGTCAGGTAAATGCATGTACTTGTTTCTTTGGGGTCAAATTGGAATGACTTTCTCTCTATTTAATGGAAGGGGGGAGTCTTCTTTGGCTTGGGAAATTGCTAATTAGATAAGCTTCTTTTCCTATATTAGTGACTCAAATGTAGCAATGATAATGAAGTTATGACCATATCAATGTGGTCCAGCTATTTAGGTGGAATAAAAAAAATATATATCTAAAAGAGCTTTGGAGCCATCTAGACCACAATTATGGGTTGCCATTTGACTTTTCTTTTTCAATGTATATGTTGTATAAAATACAACATATATGCATACTTAAAGATAAAATGAAAATATAAGTATTATTGTTTTTGGAAAATATGGACAATTTAGCTTTAAACATTACTTTGATATTTGACTTTTCCCCCTTCCTATCTGTATCCATTGAATTGATTAGATAATGACTAAAACTTTTTTTTTCACTGCATAATCATAGGCTTTAAGTACTTTTCTGTGGATAATGGCTGAGAAATTACTAGTAGGTATTATCTGAGAGATATGGGCTAAATTAGAATGAGAAACTTTAATATGGCTTCTAAGACCCACTCTCAGGTGAATCTAGGCTTCAAATCTGAAAAGTCACTTGTTCCTGCTTGAAAGCAGTGATTATAGCTCATAGCTGTTACAGTTCATGTAAGAATGAATTGCCCTATCTACACAAGAAGATATTTTCATCACTGGGATGAATATGAATCTGATTCTGGCTTGCTTTTCTTTCCCTTATTTGGTAACATTTCAGAAGCAGATATGGCTTGGCATCAATGTTTATCGATGACACCAACCCCATGGTACCATTGGTGCCATGTAGGAATGCATAGCAGAGGATAAGAATTGACTTAGCTTTAATTGGGGGGACAATGAATTATTCAAGTTATTTTACCTATTTGAGGCAGGCTATTTCACCGAGACTTGTCATCTCACAGGATTGCTCATACAGAGAGGTTAACAACAGTGACAGCAGCCACAGAAAAACTGATTTTTGAACTTGAGTGTATCTGATAGAATAAATACAAGTACTAGAATTCATGAAAATTTTGTTTTGCTTTTATATCAATAAAAGAGTTTTCTTGTTAATTGGTTTTTTGGACACTATTTCCTTATTTAGTGATTAAAATGCCAGGGTTATAATATGTCTCACCCCATTACACTTAGGATCAGTTTTTAAAAGAGACAATCAAAAATGTTCTTGCAGCTTATCTGATCTTCCACACAAACCAGCTACATCTCAGAAAAGAGATGTGTGTGTGAGATAGATAGATACATACATAAATAGTGTGTACATGTGTTTGTGTGTGTGTGTGAGAGAGAGAGTGTGTGTATATGAGTCAGTGTGTGAGACAGTAAGTGTACGAGTGTGTGTGTGTGTGTGCATGTGTGTGTGTGAGTGTGTATGTGTGACTGTATGTGTGTGTGTGTGTGTGTGTGTGCATGTGTGTATTTGGCATAACCAAGTAAACTGGGTCTGTGTTAATTCAGTGGTCTTTAAGGCACCAACTCGAAGTCGTGAGGTTATTCCCTCTCCTTCCCCTTTCACTGCTCAAACATAACCGAGTCTATTAGGACTTTTTTTGCCATTTAAAGAGGGATATTCCAGGCTCACACAAATTCAGAAGGAACCTGGTTGAGCCCTGCTGGAAATTAGCTTGTCAGGGCTGCTTCTTACTGTATGGTGCTATGTCCTATCCTGACTTCCTCCTGACATCAATTGCTATGTTATTAGACCCTGACCTTTGTCTCTAGTCTGTCATTTATCACAGGACTATTCATCCCAGCCTTAGTGTTCCTAGATCTGTCAGTGTTCTCTCATACCACCTCTCTATTGAAGATACAGTGAAGTCTAGCTTTTCTGAATTCTGGACTTGCATTGAAAGGTGTGAATTATTTCTCAGGATCATGAATCAAACCACTACCTCTACCACCTCAACTCTATGGTTCTTGTAACATGTTAAATGTCATACAGAAGTGTTTCTCCTGAAGTTATTATGTAGCCTCACATCCAATATCAGAGTAGATGTAGGCTTGTCATTTACCCTCAAAGCTCATTAGATGTTTATCAAACACAGCCAAAAGTATTTTTGACTTCTAACAATAGTAGAGGAGTGAAAAGCTTCATAGCTACTTACCTCACTTTATTGTCCTGTTTTATTTTTGTCTCAAAATTGCCCCAGACTAAAAGTAGCTTCATGGTCTCCACTGCCACCACTTTGTTGTTGGGGCAGAAAGTTCCTTCTAGCAGAACTAGAAATCATTAACCT